TGTGAGTATATAGTATAGTATAGTATAGTCACCTCAATGTTATTCTGACTGTTAAGTATATAGAGAGGTGGAGTGTGGCATAACAGGTGGTGATATAACACATGTGGATACCTTCTCCTCTACACTTCGTTAATAGTGGATTATTGTCTGTTCTCCACCACTACCACCACACCATCTCCACCATGACTACCACCACTACCACCACCTCCACCATTACCACCATCCATGACGTCGACCTTGCTGCTCCACCACCGCCGCCGCCCCATTACTGCTCTTCATAACGACGGCCCCATGTTGGCTGCCTTATTCCGGGCATATAACGACTCTCCCCATTACGGCTGTCCGTATGACGGCCACCCCATACCGGCCATCGATATATCGGGTCCCCCCCATCGCGGCCGCCCCCCACCACGACGGCCCCACATGGTTTGTCATGATGCACATATGTTTCCCCAACACTGAGCACTGAGAATGACGCTCCCTCTTGCCCTCTTGACTACTGAGAAAGATGGAAGGTGCATGCCTCTGTGTCTCACCCCCAATACTGTTTTTCTCAGTCTCCTCAAGCCCTACGGTGCACCTCTCCTAAACTCTCTCTCCAAAAGTCAACATCATTAGTGTGTATTGTACGTGCTATACTTCCGCACCGCTCACCCACCATCCTACACACCCAGATTAAAAATATTAATTTTCTTCGTACCCTGTCATGTGTGTTGCGCTTTTGACCTTTACTCCGGGGAAACGTAATGAACTAAAAGACTAAAATAGATTCTCATAATTTCACCTGTACCCCGCGCTCCGGAGGGACGAGGCATGTATTGAATTGGATTTGAAAAATTCCCTTGTCTTTTTAGTATGAATTAGTGTGTTTAAGAAAATGGATAAAATACATACTGACAGTTAATAATGGATTGTTTAGCGTAACAATCGTTAGCTGTATAGCAGGGATGGACTCAACAAAAACAGTCATTGTAACAAGTTTAACCTGAATCCAAAAATGCTTTACATCTTTCCAACGTTAAAGAGCTTGTTCTCAGAGCAAACAAGCCAACACACAAGCGCGTATTCATAATCAGAGTATTTTAATATGACTGTCGTTAACGTCATTAATGAACCGTGAGCAAAAACTGACATTTCCACTCAGGGCTGTCAATGTGTGGAGGGAGGGTAGAGCAACCACTGGCTACTTGGCGTCCCCTATGACCACGGTAACACTCCTCACCTGCCACACCGTGTCTGTAGTGCGCCGCCTCATCCTGCTGTACCTTGTGGTGGAATATATGGCCAGGTTGTGTTATGAGTACTTTAGGATTAAGTTAGGTTATAGGTAAGATTAAGTTACGGGTATGTTAAGTTAGGGGTAATAAATTTGGTGAGAATTAAGTTAGGTTGGGGGTAAGTTGGGTAAGATTTATGGTAGGTTAGGTTAGGTTTGGGGTGGGATTATAAATATTAAGTAAGATTTGGGGTAACTTAGGCGAAGTGTAAGTTAGGTCAGGTTAGTTGCATATACCTGTACTATTAGCTTAGGTTAGGATTAAGTTAGATAACGATTAATTTGGGTTATTTTTTATGTAGAATAGGTAATAGTTAAGTTAGGTTAGGTGTAAGTTAGGTAAAGATTAATTAGGTTAGCTGTAGGTTACGTAAGTTCAAGATTAGTTACGTTAAATGAGGTTAAGTTTGGTGTTTGATAGGTGAAGATTAGTTAAGTCATGTTAGTTGAAGATTAGATAGTTTAGGTTAGGTTAGGTGAAAATTACTTAGATTAGGTGTAGGTTAGGTTAGGATAGGTGAAAATTACTTAGGTTAGGTCTAGGTTAGATAAGGATTAATTAGATCAGCCGATGTTGAAGGTCGGAGTTAGATAATTAATTAATTTATTATTATTAATTAGGAGTCTCAGAACCTAACACCCCACAATTAACTAACACAATTTACCTGAATCCTCAACATGGCTACGAACATCCAGGGTTGGTTGTGACTGTTATACGCCGCTGTGCTGTGATAAACTTATCCACACGGTACTTATGTCTCGCCTATAGTGTCTTAATATACATTATCAGTCGTCTCGTAACTTACTAAACATACTTGTGTTATATCGTGAAGAGTTACTTAATTTAAATGCTCAAATTCCAGATAATATAGGGAGTTAATACTATACTCCGCATATAATTATTGTCAAACTGTACTATACGAGTAAATTCTGCCTCGCTTATTGTATTAGTGTTCCATCATATATAGCAGTAATTTTATATGTTATTATTTTTACTTATTCTGCTGAATCTATTGTATTAATTCTCACCAATATATTGTAGCTCTGTTTATTGACAACATATTGTACTAATTCTTCATGTATCACCGACTAATACCCATACATCTTTATGATAATTATGTCTTTATACGTAAATTCTCGACTTACGAATCCCTTATTCATCAAATGCTGAGGCTTAAATTTCTGAGGATTTAATGCTCTTGTTCTCTGATTACTAATATACTTCTCGATACGTCGTGATATGTCGTCAGAATTGTCTCCCAATAATCCCGTGCGATATGATACAGAATTTTGGGAAGAGATATTGGTCAAATGTGCCTTGGAATCATCGTCAATTAGTCAGAGAAGATCTATGTCTCGTGGCGTCCCTCACAACCCGTAGAATGTGTAATGGTTACTGTGTTACATAGTGTCACCACGTCAGCGACTTGATACATTTAACCAGTTTCTCCATATTTGGGAATTACTTTCGCTGTGTCGCCTCCCATCTCTTGCAGAACCTTATTGTCAGAGCCTTGCTGGAAAGCTTTGAAGTACAGTGTTATCGCTCAGAGCCGCCATAAGAAGTGTGTGAGCTCCTCGATGTCCCGCCTGTGTGTGCACAGTGACTCGCCTGCCAGTGCTGAGCGAGGGAGTCAACGCGTGTATAAGTCTACGCTCTTATCCCGCCAAGATTTACTTACTCGTCCCTCTGGTAAATGATGGCGCGTTCTGTGTCTTCAATATGACTTAATAAATAAATGGAGTAAATTTCCTGGGTATTGATCATCTACTTGATAGTAAATTACTTTCCTTTAAAAAAAACGAATAAAAACACAAGATGTACTGGGTCTGTGTAGTTGCTTTTAGCACGTAAATTAGGTTTGAAAAGAGAAGTTGAGGCGGTCGTTAACGATAGTGTTGGGGCGTTGTCCAATCTGAAAGAATCCTTCTGCCGCCAGAGGCCTTGAGGCGATGTTTAATTAACCAGTGTGTGAGGGAGAGAGAGAAAGAGAGCAGCATGTTACAAGGGCGGCATCCATATGCTGCCGGCCGCCACCCGGGTCACATTCCTCATACCACGGCAGGGATTCAGCGGCATTAGCATACCTTAATTACTTCACCAATTATGGCTTCCCACAAGCCTAATAATTAGGCCGGGATCTGCCTCCAGTTTCCAAAGAGTTCCTCCATTTTATAAGACTTTGCCTGCAGATGTCTCCCTAAATGTTAGACAGAGTAAACTAAACTTACATATACATTATATGCTGTATATATATATTTAGTTGTTTACCAGTGAGCACAAACCCTGTGTACTGCCAGGTAAGTTAGGTGTATCTATGTGTATATTACTTCTGAACTGCACCTGGCTCCTACACACAGCCATTGATGTGTTGTCTCAGTGTGTCCTACTGATGTGTAGCATTGTTATCTCTCTCTCTCTCTCTCTCTCTCTCTCTCTCTCTTATATCTCTCTCCAATCTTCTCAATCTGCCCTCAGTCTCCACTCTCTCCCATAACCCCCTTTTTCTCTCCCTTCTATCTCTCTTTCTCACCACCATTTACCAATCCCTTACGTAAATAAATTTTCTTCCTCTCTCTTCAATCATTATTTAGATATGTATACATAAATATATATAAATAAATGTCATTATGAACCCCCCCTCAACACCACCGCCACCACCCCTCAACACCACCGCCACCACCCTCTCCATTTGCCCATTCACAATTGACAGTCACGTAGTAATGTTTACGCATAGTGTCGTCATTGTGCTCCACCAATCAGCTGTGTTCACTACGATATATACCCCTCCCCCCACCTTACTACTGCTCCTCCCATTCATAATAAAAACACGATGGACTGTGCTTATGTTGATTTCGACCCCCTCCCCACCCCTCCCTCTAAGGATGTTTCAATTACTGTTTATTCATTGGATAATAAGGATCTTTACTGTGTATGCATTGGCTGATAATAACCCAATCAGCGTTAATTATATGTTATGTTTATTATGTAGTTACTATTACTCGATTACCTTGTTCTTCAGTCAGTCATTAGGGTTATTACTGTTGTTAAGTCAGGAATATCACCATTGTTATCTAGTCGCTGAACACTATCTCCTATCACCATTAACCACTGTTAGATGTCACCATAGCAACCATACGTAACATCAGATAATCACCAAAGCAACCAAACCGTCTCATGAACCAGTACTTAGTTATTATCATTATTATTCACCACAACCACCATTATTCACCACCACCACCATTATTCACCATAACCACCATTATTCACCACAACCACCATTATTCACCACCACCACCATTATTCACCACCACCACCATTATTCACCACCACCACCATTATTCACCACAACCACCATTATTCACACTGCTGAGCCCTAAATACTCCTGTAGACTGATAATAAGGATATTTATCATTCTTGAGCCTAATAAACTTCTAGGATGTTACTGGTCATATCACACCTAAGCATTATACATTGTTAGGATGATAGTAAGAGCATTATATACTACTAGGATGATAAGTACGACACATTGACATGATGAGAGTAGAGTCATTATATCACACCTAAGCATTATATATTACTAGGATGATACTAAAGGAATTATATCAAATTTAGGCATTATAAATTACTAGGATGATACTAGGATCATTATGCATTACTAGAATGATAACTACGACACATTGACATGATGATAGGTATAACGTGTGGTTTGTTGTGTACAGAAGACATCGATCACCAAGAAGACGCCATCCACGACCGATAACCACATCCCTCACAACATGAACAAGCGCGACATTATCCGCGCCACCGACTTCAACTACCTCATGGTACTTGGCAAGGGATCGTTCGGCAAGGTGCTGTTGGCTGAACGTAAGGTGAGTCAGTTTACCTGTGTGTGGGTGGGGGTTAGTGTCAGGTGAGTTACTTACCCGTGTGAGTGATGATGTTGCTGGGTAACTTTTGTGTGTGTATGTGTGTGTGTGTGTTTTTGTTTGTGTGTGCGTGTGGTTCTTCGTGTACACTCACAAAGATGTCACGTATGGGTGTCACACACACACACACACACACACACACACACACACACACACACCATTTCAGATGAAAATGAAAAATTCATTAGTGAGTCGGAGTGCAGCTTATATGAAATTTCGAGAAAAAAAATTAATTGCATGAATATTTAATTAAAAGTGTTGGCTGTTGAAGCAGGTTGTTGCGCCGTTGCTATTTCCAGCTTTATGAAAGGACGGTAACAGTGAGTGGGGGAAAAATGCACGAATTGAAGTTGCAATACTCACAGCATAATTAGTATATAATTGTCTGTCGGTTCGTGTTTGACTTCATTTTCGTTGCAAATTTTGACTGTTTTCTTATTTTTTTTTCTTTATTTATGGAGCTATGGGAATTATTACTTTGTTTAACAACATTAACTATCATTGTTGTTTTAGAGAAATTACCGGACAAAAATAAGGTAATGTGTGTGTGTGTGCGTGTGTGTATGTGCGCGCGCGCGCTGAATCATGACATGAGTTTTAATTGTAATTTAAATTACCTGTATTAATATTCTGTAACCTGGATTGCCTTTTTCAGCAGCTGTATCAACAGTTGTGTAGTTTAAAACGTAAATATCATTGTAGTTAAATTATTGAGGTGATATTAGAATAATTAATGGACTACTTTAAGGTAAGAATATGTACGTATGTGTGTGTTATATATATACTTTGTATATATATATATATATATATATATATATATATATATATATATATATATACACAGTATATATATATATATATATATATATATATATATATATATATATATATATACAGGTATATATATACCAGCTAATATCACCACCAACCTTTACCCTCTGTTGACGACTTCCTCCTCTGATGGATCTGGCTACACTGTCAACATCTTGGCCACTGTGTCACTTGGCCGCCGTATCACTTGGCCTCCGTGTCACTTGGCCGCCGTGTCATATGGCCACTGTGTCACTTGGCCACCGTATCATATGTCCACTGTGTCGCTTGGCCTCTGAGTCACTTGGCCGCTGTGTTCCTTGGCTACCACCGTCGTCTTGGCCCACCAACACCATCGACCGGTTCTACACTTCAGCATCCATCTGTAGTAAGACCCAGCACATTATGTACCGGCGGGGGACAGTGTGTGACCCTCTCCACCACCACTGATTAGCAACTGTGAGATCATCGATGGAGGGGATGTAAAAGTTGTTATCTACACTCTAGTTGGTGGATGGTGGAAGACTCTAGTTGTGGTGGACGGTGCTTGAAGGCCTTGATGGTTGTAGCTCCTAAAAACAACAACCAAACAACTGTTGTAATGTGAAACTCCAATATCCAATTAGTTCTCGGTCTGAAAAGGTCTTCATTGTGCATTTCCTCTATATATATATAGCGACGTTCACAAACCTAACGCCATCCCAACTACAATTTTAAAACCACGACAACTATTCCAAACATGACATAGAGCAACCCACGATTCCAGACAGGACAGTGCTTCCAAACTTGACTGCGATTCCAAGCATGTCAACGATTGCAAACAGGAAAGCGATTGCAAGCATGACTACAATCCCAAACCTGACAGCGTTCCCGGAAACCTTGACCCCCCTGCCCCCGAGCATCAGCGGAGGTGAGGCAGATATTGACATTAAGGAAGATGGACAGGTGTTTGGCAGGTCTTTTAAAGTTGACAGGTGTTTGGTAGGTGTTTTAAAGTAGACAGGTATTTGGTAGCTGTTTTAAAGTTGACGTGTTTGGCAGGTGTTTTAAAGTCGACAAGTGTTTGGCAAGTGTTTTAAAGTTGACAGATGTTTGGCAGGTTTTAAAATTGATAGATGTTTGACCGGTGTTTTAAATTTGACAGGTGTTTGGTAGGTGTTTTAAAGTTGACAGGTATTTGGCAGGTGTTTTAAAGTTGACAGGTGTTTTTGCAGGTGTTTTAAAGTTGACAGATGTTTGGCAGATGTTTTAAAGTTGACAGATGTTTGGCAGGTGTTTTAAAATTTATAGGTATTTGACAGGTGTTTTAAAATTGACAAGTGTTTAGCAGGTGTTAATTATACTTCTTAAATGTGATACACAGAAGTTAGCGGTGTTGAGTGGAAGAGGGTCATACAGTGTGGGAGCCGTCCAGTTGTGCACGGTGTGGCCGGGTGTGTTAGTTCGGGTCTGGCCGGGTGTGTGTGTTAGGGTGTGGCCGGGTGTGTCCGTCCAGGTCTGGCTTTTGTCAAGATGGCCGCCAATCTCCTCGTGTGCCTTCTTCTAAATCTCTCACGTTTTTATTTTTATTGTGTGTGTGTCACCTTCATTACTTTCTCTCGTTTTGCTACTGTTTCCCTGTTTTATGGGGTCTTTCTTTCTTTCTTTCTTTCTTTCTTTCCCTGTGTTATGGGGGTTGTCTTCTATTCTTTGTTTTTTCTTTCTTTTTTCGATCTCTTCTTTCTGTTTTCTTTTTTCTGTTTTTCTTTTTTATCTTTCTTTCTTTTGTTTTAAAAATCATTCTTTCTTCTTCAGGTAAAAAAGTTCATTTTAGATCTTTCACTTGGCATAATTAAAACTTTGGTCACTTTTTTCATAGAGGATCGTGTGAACAGTTGACTTTATGAAAGGAGTAAACTGCATGTTTTTGTTTGTTTTATATTAAATAATCTCTTTTCTTCGTGTTTTTTTTTTTTAGTGAACTGATTAAAACTTCTGATTTTGGTACAATCTTGGTACAGTTTTAACTCTTGGGCTTCCAGTGGTTTTAGTGGGTAATGATCATGTTGTTGGAACAAGGTTATTGATGTTACAACTTACTCCATCATTCATCTCCATCACTTACCTCCAACACTCATCTCCATCAATCATCCCCACCACTCATCTCCATCATAAAGCCTGAGTCTCAAGAATATAACAGTGATTGCAGGGAAATGCTTAAAAATGCGTGTATGTATGTATGGGGTGGGGGGCAGGGGTTAACAGGGCGTAAATCAAGTTTCTTGCCACCGTTCAATATTGCACGACTGACTGTCACAACACACGGGAGTTGATGCTGCTGTGTGCCCGTCGCCGCCTCCACCACCACTAACATTACCACGTCCACCACCATTTCCACTTCCACCACTATTATCACCACCACTACCATTATCACCACCATTACCACTACCACCACTATTACCACTTCCACCATCATTATCACCACCACTACCATTACCACTACCACCATCATTATCACCATCATCACTACTACTTAGTACTACTGTCTCTTACAAAAACATTATCACCCAACCTCTTTGTTTACAGGCAGGAGTTGGGTTAATGAAGATCTCTCTCTCTCCTAATTACATCTTAATACCCATAAGGACTGAGCCTCTAACCATATAGTTAGGTTAAGTTGAGCCCCATTAAGGCCAGGTTAGGGTAGGTTTGGTTATGTAAGGTTAGCTTGGGTTAGGTTAGCGTGAGTTAGGTTAGCTTGGGTTTGGTTAGGTTAGGTTAGGTTAGGTTTGGTTACGTAAGGTTAGCTTGAGTTAGGTTAGCGTGAGTTAGGTTAGCGTGGGTTAGGTTAGGTTAGGTTAGGTTTACAGTACAACTAGTATACTGTATTTATAAAGTGATTTATATTCCATTAGTTGTTGGTAAATATTAGATAAACAAAACAAAATGGCACATAAAGATAAAAAGTTATGTATAGGCAATAATGATGTGAGTGTGAATGAAGAGATCAGTCAACAATCTGTGTACTAACCAACCAACACCGCCTGTCTGTCTGTCTGTCTGTCTGTTGTGGGAGTAACGAAGGCGTCTCGCCTACTAGGGGAGGGAGGGATAGAGGGCCTCAGCCCCATCTGCACAGACCAATTACCTGACTTAGAGAAGGTAATTGACTTGGACATGTTACCTCACTTCCAGGTGGAGGGTCTCTCTCATTCATCTTTTATTGATCCACAAAATTTTTCCGTTTTACACACTTTTTTATTTCGCCATTCGTCCCTTGATCACAAAGTCTGCACTGGGCCGCCGCTTTCTTCTGGCGGAAGGTATCAGCTTTGGTCTGAGACTGAGGGTTGTTCTGCCAGTCAGTGAAGGCAGCACGTTTACCATTGACGAGTACGGCGATTTCCTGGTTATTTTCATCAAACCAATCCTGGTGTTTTCTTTCAATCTGGCCGAGGGTCTCGCTGCAGGTTTTTGTCATGACAGTGTCGAGGATACCCCATTCGGCACTCGGATTTAGGTTGTTTGTTGTTGGGTTGTTTATCAGCCCATCGTCGAGCTGCTCTCTGAAATCGTGTTCTACCGCTTGATCCTCCTGCCACTTGGTGTAAAATCAGCTTCTGGAGGCTTGTTGCCTTTACTACCACTACACCATCACCGCCACCACCACCGCCACCACCACCACTACCACCACTACACCATCACCGCTACTACTACTACTACTACTACTACTACTACTACTACTACTACTACCTACTACTACTACTACTCATTACTACTACTACACTACCACTACTACTACACACTCACCACCACTACTACTACCACCACCACCACCACCACCACCACCACCACCACCAACCACCCACCACACCACCACTCACCACCACCACCACCACCTATCTCGGAAAATATATATAAATCCCATAACTTATGCTAGCCGTGCAGTTGTAAATGCTGTCACGTCTCTAGATACAGGATGAATTTAACATACGAACCTTTGATAATGTGAGACTTGGTGAGAGTAAATTCTGGATTAATTAATTCAGCTGGGCATATCATCAGACCGCCGCTATCTTACTCCCCACAGTCTGCCCTGGGTATTACGAACCACCACGCTGATATATTCTGAGGTACATTACATTCCCTATAATTCTGTGTGTATTATATATGAATTATTATTAGCAGTAAGAATTATTGTACCCATTGTATACTGTATATAATAATGTTTAGGTCATAGGTAGAATTTGGGGCATTTGAGTGTGTGTGTGTGTGTGTGTGTGTGTGTGTGTGTGATGGGAGATAGGATAGAGAGAGGCGAGCTAGTGAACACCCCATCCACTTTAACCCAGCAATACCCACTCTCCCTCCCTCCCTCCCTCCCTCTCTCCAATCCTTTTGTTCTCTCTCTTCAAGCTGTGGGTCTAACTACTGCTCTCTCACTTCTTATTTCACTCAGTTTTATTTAATGCTCTTAATTTTTTATGGGTAGACTCTCTCTCAACGAAGGCTCTTAGATAACCCCGTCGGCTGCTTTTACTTATCCTTACCAATGATTCTTTTGATGATCTCAGAGACGGTTCAGGCCTGTATACCCTCATCCAGGGACCGCTGATGCTAAGTTCTTGTGACAGTTTCCAATTCCATCAGGAGAGTGGCCCAGGAGCAGTCAAGTGCCCTAGTAGTTTTGCGATAGAGAGAAAAAAATAATCCAAACATTTAACAATTTATTTTATAGCATTTATCAGCCTATTAGTTTTCTTTATTCCTCTCAATATTTTTAAAGGGGGTGGATTAATGGGTACAGATACTTCAGAGAATGAAGTGAGGCGGCTAATAGGGAGAACTGTGCAAGGGAAGAATGGCAGGAACTAGTGAGGCGGCTAATAGGGAGAACTGTGCAAGGGAAGAATGGCAGGAACTAGTGAGGCGGCTAATAGGGAGAACTGTGCAAGTGAAGAGTGGCAGGAACTAGTGAAGCGGCTAATAGGGAGGACTGTGCAAGGGAAGAGTGGCAGGAACTAGTGAGGCGGCTAATAGGGAGAACTGTGCAAGGGAAGAATGGCAGGAACTAGTGAAGCGGCTAATAGGAGGACTGTGCAAGGAAGAGTGGCAGGAACTAGTGAAGGGCTAATAGGGAGAACTGTGCAAGGAAGAGTGGCAGGAACTAGTGAGGCGGCAATAGGAGAACTGTGCAAGGGAAGAATGGCAGGAACTAGTGAGGCGGCTAATAGGGAGAACTGTGCAAGGGAAGAGTGGCAGGAACTGGTGAAGGGCTAATAGGGAGAACTGTGCAAGGAAGAGGACAGGAACTAGTGAGGCAGCTAATAGGAGAACTGTGCAAGGGAAGAGTGGCTTTAACTAGTGAGGCGGCTAATAGAGAACTGTGCAAGTGAAGAGTGGCTTTAACTAGTGAGGCGGCTAATAGGGAGAACTGTGCAAAGGAAGAGTGGCAGGAACTAGTGAGGCGGCTTAGGGAGAACTGTGCAAGGGAAGAGTGGCTTTAACTAGTGAGCTAATAGGAGAACTGTGCAAGTGAAGAGTGGCTAAATGAGGGAGAACTGTGCAAGTGAAGAGTGGCTTTAATTAGTGAGGCGGCTAATAGGGAGAACTGCAAAGGAAGAGTGGCAGGAACTAGTGAGGCGGCTAATAGGAGAACTGTGCAAGTGAAGAGTGGCTTTACCTAGTGAGGCGGCTAATAGGGAGAACTGTGCAAAGGAAGGGTGGCAGGAACTAGTTAGGCGGCTAATAGGGAGAACTGTGCAAGGGAAGGGTGGCAGGAACTAGTGAGGCGGCTAATAGGGAGAACTGTGCAAAGGAAGAGTGGCAGGAACTAGTGAGGCAGCTGATAGGGAGAATTGTGCAAGGGAAGAGTGGCAGGAACTAGTGAGGCGACTAATAGGGAGAACTGTGCAAGTGAAGAGTGGCTTTAACTAGTGAGGCGGCTAATAGGGAGAACTGTCAAAGGAAGAGTGGCAGGAACTAGTGAGGCGGCTAATAGGAGGAACTGTGTAAGGGGAGAGTGGCAGGAACTAGTTTGAGATAACTTAGGCCAATATAAGCTAACTTAAATTAACCAAGTTTAGGTTAGATGATTATGAGTGGGAATGAAGTGGTGCTGTGCTGTACATATCTCCAACCTGAACTGGAGATGGCTCATGACATCACTGACCGTATCTGAATGACTGTGTTGGGCTACAGCTGAGTGTTGGGCTACAGCTGAGTGTTGAGCTACAGCTGAGTGTTGAGCTACAGCGGAGTGTTGAGCTACAGCTGAGTGTTGAGCTACAGCTGACTTAAGAGGTATTCATCATGATCACAGTGGGTAATTCTTGTGTTTGAGGAGCATCCATTGGCTTTACTCATCAGCACCAAACATGGAAGAGATGATCACCGTCAAGCGTGGGCAGACCAGTTTGTATTCATCATTTTTGTCTGAGTTATGACTCAGGTTGTATTTCATAGAAAAAGCCCTTAAATTGTATTTTTCAGAAATTATCGCGTGACTTTCCTAATTGTGCCTTTTATACCTGGGTGTGTGTTGCTCCATGAAGCGGCGGTACTCTTGTTATTGTCTTCTTTAGTGATTTTCTTCTGTTTTATCTTTAGTGTTACTGTAGTGGGGCTTTGGTTAATTGTGGTTACTCTTTAATATTCTGATTTAGTGATCAGGTAAGCTGTAAATAAGCACCTAAGGTTACAACTTGGTGAAATGAAGGCAGCCGAGAGCAGTACTAGCCATGCTGCCTCCTTGTGCACCGAAGGCTTAGTATACAGTGTGCTGTATCCACACTGTCCTTAATGGGACAGTCATGTCTATGGGATCCACTTGCACCATCATGTGAAGAAAATGTAAAATTCTTCAAATAACATATTCTTATTCTCTTGATCAGGGAACGGATGATCTCTATGCCATTAAAATCTTGAAGAAGGACATCATCATCCAGGACGATGACGTAGAATGTACCATGATAGAGAAGAGAGTACTCGCCCTGGCCAACAAGCCTCCCTTCCTTGTCCAGCTCCACTCCTGTTTCCAGACTATGGTAGGTCATTTTGTCCAGCCCCATTCCTGTTTCCAGACCAGGGATGGATCCACGAATATCAAAAGGGGGGGTCCAAGAAGTTGTGGGTGGGGGAAACATGGCGAGCACAGCAAGCCTACCCAGCTGGGGGGGTTTGGGGGGGGGGCCGCTGTAAGACCCCAGATACTTATTTGAAATCTGACCAATATCATGGGCATTTTGAGGCAATTTTAAAGCCATGTGCACTTGATAATAGGAGATATTCTGAAGTCAATAGTAATTACTTTTTACTATACAGAAATGCCTGAGTACAATACTGCATTAAAGGAAAAAGTATTGGAACTTTCTGATGAAAAGGGGGTCCAGACCCCTACGAACCCCCTCCCCCTCCCCCTTTGATCCACCCCTGCAGACTATGGTAGGTCATGTGTCAACTCCTTGGCAAAAGGTCGTTTTAAACAATGCTGATAAACTACAGTATATTATGGAGATTAACTGAGAATCTGGTTTAGATATTGGTAAGTAATATTATTGAGAGGAGGTATTTTTATTTCATGCTTTAAACATTTCTTGTCTTCTTGTTTTTGTGTAAAACAATATTTTTATTGTATGTTTTTTGTCATGATTTATTATTCTCTCTGCTACACTATACAATATATTGGTTTTATAAGAGGAGTAGAGGCAAAGTAATTAAATACATTAACTTGTATTAATGTTCCTTGTTAACAACTTTAATGAAGAAGAGTTTGTCTACCCTATACTTTAGACCATAAGTTTGAATATCCATTATGTACTGTACTGTATAAAAATTTCTCTATTGTATATTTATAATTGTTCTAATGAAATGTAAAAATATTCTTCATGTTTCAGACATAATTTGCCATAGTTACTCAGTTTGATATAACGAACCTGAAGTATTTGTTGTGTTACAGGACCGGTTATACTTTGTGATGGAGTACGTGAATGGCGGTGATCTCATGTTCCAGATCCAACAGTGTGGCAAGTTCAAGGAGCCTGTTGCTGTGTATGTATCCATCCTCCGTATACCTCACAGTGTACAGCCTTTATCCCTTTCAGATTTATACTTCTCATTTACTGTATTATGAATTTCTACTGTTCTCCCTTCATAAGTTTATGTGTATTGTATATACAGTACAGTATAGATTTTTCTTCTATTATCAATATGTTTTTTTCCTGAAGTTCAGGGTTTTCTATCCAGCGAGTTTGTCACCTTACTTATCTTCCAATTATATCTGAGCTCTTCAGAGTCTGTAATATTTTATCTAAGTTCTTTCTTCCCTTTGAGAGTTTGTATCTCACACTCTTCAAATACGTGCACAGTAAAGTGCAGTATATCCATTTTATCACAGTTTTTGTCTATATTTGTCAGCCCATTGCCCACCTTTCCTGACTGACCAGCCAACAGTGATTTTCTGTGTACTGTATGTATGTGGGAGTTTTTCAAATGTGTCATTATAAGTGCTACAAGGCAAGTGATCAGCCCTGTACGAATATAACTGTGCAGTGTAGCATGCCCTAACCACTTCTTGATCATCCTTGGTAGTTGGTGGTTCACTTGCCTTAAACTCTAAAGGCTGGACTGGAATATATACAGGAAAAGGAAGATTCCATGGATTTAACCTACTATTTAGCACAACTGAACAGTGTGCACAGTATTTACATTTTTTTTTCTGTCCATCCATCCTGAAATGTGTGTTACAGAAGTTATTCCTTTACTCTCAGGGTTTTCATACACCATTGGCATATGAACATGTTAACATATGTATCCGTTCGGGTTTTTCATAAGCTAGGAGGAAACAGGAAACCGCGAGTGAGCATTAACGGCACTAAATCTGATTGGAGCAACGTCACTAGTGGAGTACCTCAAGGCTCAGTGCTTGAAACAATATTATTTATTATATACATAAACGACATAGATATTGGCGTAAATTTGCTGATGACACGAAAATAGGGCGTGTAATTAAATCTAACGAGGACTCCGCAAAACTACAGGAAGATCTAAACAAATTTTTTGAATGGTCTGAAAAATGGCAGATGAAATTCAATGTGGACAAATGTAAGGTATTTAGTCTAAGAGATGTAAATAGAGAAACCAGACATCAGATGAACAACGATGTTATAGAAAAATCCGAATGTGAGAAAGATTTAGGAGTAATGATAAGTAGGAACCTTAAGCCAAGTAAACAATGAGTATTTGCTCGAAACAAGGCTGATAATGTACTTGGGTTCATACAAAGGAATGTTAGTTACAAGACTAGAGAGGTCATCCTAAAACTATATCTTGCACTTGTGAGACCTCACTTGGATTACGCAGTTCAATTCTGGTCATCGTATTACATAATGGATATAGAATCCCTAGAAAAAATTCAGAGGAGAATGACAAGACTAATCCCGGTATTAGGAACCTTGAGTACAGAGACAGGTTAAAGCATCTTAATTTGCACTCCCTCGAGAGACGTAGAGTGAGTGGCGATATGATAGAGGTGTATAAATGGAAGTCAGGGCTGAACAAAGGGGATATTACAAAGGTACTCAAACTATCCAACCAGGAGCGAACTCGTAACAATGGTTTTAAATTACCGGTAGACAAATTTAGATTTAGGCGCAAAATAGGTAAACATTGGTTTGGAAATAGAGTAGTGGATGAATGGAACAAGTTACCAAACATCATCATTAACTTGAATACGCTGGATAGCTCCAAACATAAGTTGGATGGATATATGAGTGATAGGGGTTGGGTGTAAATGGCCCAGTATGGACCAATAGGCCTGCTGCAGTTTCCTCCATTCTTATGTTCTTATGTTCATATGAACGTCTTTGGGAAAAAAAAATATATATATATATATATATATATATATATATATATATATATATATATATATATATATATATATATATATATATATATATATATATATATATATATATATATATATATATATATATATATATATATATATATATATATATATATATATATATATATATATATTTATTTATTACATCTCTGTCAAAGATCAAGGTCACAGTTCAAAACAATGACCTGAATATGATTCTTGTACAGTACAATATTTCATTGCAGATATATGTATTCAATTTCGTGTGAAAATACATTATTACTAGACAAAGAGCAGAACACCAGGGTTAAAAGTTTGTATCAAAGGTTAGGGTTATAGTAAATGGTTACAAGTTAAAAGTTCAGATAACCGAGTCTTCTATTGATGCAGATTTTTACGAGTTATGTATCATTCCAGGGTGAAATGTATAGCATCAAGTTACTGTCAATGAAACACAGATGAATGTTACAAGAAGGTCAATGATCTAAATCTTCTGCAGTGATTAACTTTTGAATCAGTAAAGATATTGTGATGAGCCTTTACTTTGTTATTTATCACTAGATATTTTGCGTAATGTGAGAATTCTTCTCCTTTAGCAAATTACCTGTTTAGCCAGGGCATTCTGTTATTACATTCATAGTTTCCCAGTTCATAGAAGTTTTTTAATATATGAACAAACCTTAGACCAAAAACATTTTAAAACAATTACAGCACCTGAACTCATAACATACCTGAATATTCTCTCTCCATCAAGATCCTTTTTATCTTGGTAATTTGATTAAACAGTTATTTCCTCTGGCAGGTTCTATGCAGCAGAGATCGCTATCGGGCTTTTCTTCATGCACTCTCGCAGCATCGTCTACCGTGATCTGAAACTGGACAATGTGCTCTTGGATCAGGATGGACACATTAAGATTGCTGATTTTGGTATGTGTAAGGAAGGGATTTCGGGTGAGAGAACTACCAAGACTTTCTGTGGAACACCAGACTACATTGCCCCGGAGGTCAGTATATTCTGGACAACAAGTATTATAGATGGTAATGTACACTATCTTTATTAGAAGTTTTTAGGATTTGGGTCAGGTGAAAAGGGTTAGCAACTTGATGAGATGTCCTCTACTTTATTTTGCCTTAATAATGCAAATACAGTACCATAAAGTTCTGTATTTTTTTGATGAATGATAGAAGTTTCTTTTTTCATAAAACTCATCAGTCTTAACAATATGTGTACAGTATTGTAACAATATTAAAAACAAAAATATTAAAATATCATTACCAAAAGTGATACAATGGTTTGTGTTGTGCAGATTATTTTGTACCAGCCATATGGTAAGAGCGTAGACTGGTGGGCGTATGGAGTCCTGTTGTATGAGATGTTGGTTGGGCAGCCACCATTTGATGGGGAAGATGAAGAGGAACTCTTTGCTGCCATTACTGACCATAATGTTTCATACCCCAAGTCACTTTCCAAAGAATCTAAGGATTGCTGCAAGGGTGTAAGTACACAGTATGGTTCTCATTCAACATTAACTTACCATCTAATTCTTATATTCTTTTTGTATTTTTCTTATTTGCTGTCATCTAACCAGTGGTGTATTCTTAATGAATGCAAGGCATGCATGCAGGCCTAGTAGAAAGCAAAATATATTTTTAAATAGTATCTCTAATAATACAGATTTAATTTTAGAATCCACAGTTTTCACTCAGGAAAGTCGAGGAGACTCAGCGTCCCTCAATGCATGCAGAAGGATAAGCCGTATGCCCTCAGTGGACATATAGACGTAACCATCCTATCAATAACATGCTAAAATAAACTTTATTGTGTTGGGGCATAAGGAATTTGAGCCATTCTAGTCAAATTTAATATTTTTTTCCTTTAATAAGCATGAAGTCTTATGTTATACAATGATATATTATATTACTTAAGAGTTGTTGTTCCATAAGAGTGGCTATTTAATAAGGTTTATGTAAATGTAATGGGTACAAATGCGTGCAATTCGAAAACTGCATTCACTTGTCGAGAGGCTATGTAGACCGGCGGCGGCTCTCCGTCAGCTGGACAAAACTGGTCCACATTATTATTTTTTAATATTTCTAAACAACCCTACAGTCCGCTTTCAGTTATAGTTTTTTCACTTGGGAAAGTTATTCAGTTTTCTGTTTTACTTGAAATAATAATCGGATCATATAAATAAAAATATTAACTAATTATTTAAATGTTCATCAAAGAGATCATTTGCAACTTTACAGAGGGCCAGCGTTGTGCATGACGCCTAGTCATTTTTTTAATTACTTTTTTTCTAAATTACCGTAGATCACACTGAAAGCTTAATAATCTTTTGCCGTAAGCATTCTTGCACCCGTTATTTAATGATTTATAATAGATACTTTGTCAGATGCCACTGATATAATTTAAGATATTAAGTGTTTATAAAAGCTTGACGACCCTTATTTAGAGAGAGGCCATATCCTACTTGATATTTGATTTGATAACTGATATATGTGGGTGTTCTGCATGGCTCATCAGTGCACCCACGGGACACCACAGCATCTAGCAGTGGCGTACAGGTAGTAGTATTTCTCAACATCTTTTTTTTTACCTTTCAAACTACTATGTTGAAGTAAAAATTTTATCTTAACTTAATGATGGTATGAAAAAACAAGTAATATAGAAGAGGTTAGGTTAGGAAAAATAAAGGTTAAGTTAGGAAAACTAAAAGTTATGTTGAACACTTACGTTAGTAGAAGAGATGGGTCGGCGTACAGGGATGGAGGCTGGTTCCGAGGCAGAGGGCAGGCTACTGGCCCTCAGGTGAGTCACCATCACTGTCACCCACACTTGTTATGGCCTCCCTGACAAATCCCTCAAAGTCATCTTCACTGTCTACCTCTGTCACTATCACTGGCTCGGGATGGCTGTGGTGGGTTGCTGGCGAAGAACTCGGTTATGCTTTTTTGACGGCTGGTGTTTATGTTGTCTTGATACACCTTGATGTACGGCTCCATAGCCTGCACCAGCCGGGTATGGAAGACTTCATAGCGGTCATCGTTATTGTCGTGGGAAAGGAAGGACCTCATTTTCTCTGCACACTCCATGGCACCCTTAATATCACTATGACTTAAACTGTGTTCTTCGGAGAATGACGCACCTTCTTCCTCCTCTTCACTGACGTGATCTTCTTCCAACATCTCGTCGGCAGTCACTTCAGGATCTCTGATCACCTCCAGGATGTCTTCGTTGGTGGTCTCGGAGAAGCCTTCAGCTGTAATATTGAGCGCAGCTTCTCTGGCAAGGTCCACTGCTACTGCAACAGTCTGAACCTCACCAGTCACAGGTTCACTCCTCTTCTCAGCTGGTATGCCATGCAACACATGTCTCCATGCGTGACGAATCGTAGCAATAGACAGCTGATCCCATGCCTCCACCAAGAAGTCTACAGCTTGTTTGACGTTAAACTTCTTCCAAAATTGTTTGACGAGAACTTCTTGAGTCGCCACCTCTTGTTCCTTGTCCTCGTCGCTTTTACTCTCGCTGTCGGTGTCACCCAGCTTACGCAACTCATCCTTGGTGTTGGTAGAGTCGTTCAGGAGCTTGAACTTCTTTGCAGAGTACGCAGCTTTCACATTGCAGATCAACTCCTGGTCCATGGGCTGGATTAATGACGTAGTGTTGGGAGGAAGGAAGACCACTTTTACGTTGGGGTGACGATCCATAAGTAGGGGCGAGTGTCCAGGTGCGTTGTCAAGGAGCAACAAAATGTTGAATGGAACATTCTGTTGCTCGCAGAATTTCTTCACGTCGGGAACAAAACAGTCGTCAAACCATAAGAGGGACAGAGAAGAGGACATCCACGCCTTACGTGCGGTTAGCCAGTGGACATTAAGCTTGTTCATGTCCATATTCTTGTAGGCGTGCAGCTTGCGGGCTGTGTGAATCACCGATAACTTTGGTTTACAGGTACCGGAGGCATTGGTGGTAAACAGGACGGTGATGCGTTCCTTCTGCATCTTCCGGCCCCGAATCTTGCTGGCATTCTTTACAACGAAGGTCTTGGAAGGTAGCTTTTTCCAGAAAAGACCAGATTCGTCCATGTTAAACACCTGGTCGTCGGTGTACTGTCCTTCCTCCATAATCTCACGTAAAAACGGAGGAAAATCTCTAGCCGCCACACGGTCAGCACTCGCTTCCTCACCACCTATGTTGATGTTGGTGATCGTGTTCCTCTTCTTAAACCTATGCAGCCAACCAGAGGAAGCATTGAAGGGTTTGGGCTCTGCAATTCCCAGCTTACGTGACACTGCTGCGTATAGTTCACGTGCGTACTCCTGCACTGAGCGAGTGTCCACCGCCATGTTGCGTCGCGCCTGACGAATCAAATAACTCACCAGCAAATTTTCCACTTTTGCCAGCACTCTGTTCTGGCAATACTTGATCGTTGAAGCACCTGCAGACTTTGTGATTTTCATGTGCTCTTTGATCTTGGCTGCATCCTTCTTGATAGTGCGAATCGTAGATTCGTTGACGCCATGCTGGCGCGCGAGATCAACTTGCCGTGTTCCTTTCTCCAAATCTTGAATGATCTGGTATTTCACTTCGTAACTTAGACCACGGCGTGTCTTCTTGGGCTTAGGGCGGCTGGGTCCAGGTAAGGAAAGGTCTCTCTCTGGTGGCGGTGGTGGTGAGGCGGAAGCCATTTCACAGAACAATGGATTCACATATACACGGAGTGGCCTGGAGGGATGAAACTGCCGCGGCTAGGTGAAGCGTCGTCTTTCCTCCCTCCCTCCCTCCCTCCCCCGGGTGGACGCGTCATAATACTTTAAGCCAATTACAGCTAGCAGCAGAGGGGGGGGTAGGGATGCATGGCCAATCACAGTCCGATACGGCATATGACGTCAGTGATAACGCAACAGAGACATGCACTGCGCAACCTTACAGCACGGCTTGCCCAGGCGGAGGGAGGGGGGAGGAGGCGGGAGCAGGCGGGTGGGGCGAATCTAAAAATAGCGTCTCGAGCCGGACACTCGCCACGTATACGTGGAAAAAACCCGCGTTAAGTGAAAGTTCGGCTCTGGCGAGGCACCGCGTATACGGTAAATCGCGCTAAGCGAAACTGTAAAAAGCATATATATATATATATATATATATATATATATATATATATATATATATATATATATATATATATATATATATATATATATATATATATATATATATATATATATATATATATATATATATATATATATATATATATATATATATATATATATATATATATATATATATATATATATATATATATATATATGCTGATAACCACAAGGAAAGAAGAAAACACGAAGTTCCCAAGCGCTTTCGTGTAATTCACATCTTCAGGGGTTAGTACAGACTCTGTACAGAGTCTGTACTACAGTATAGTATACTATTACCATTTGTGTGAAAAAAAGTTCATTATGTTTTTTCACCTTTTATGTTTGATAGATCAAAAAGTATAACAGCTTGTATAACAGTTGCTGGAAATTCAAGGTCCTGTTCTCTCTCAGTTCCTCACCAAGTTGCCCCTGAAGCGACTAGGCTGTAGCCCCAAGGGTGAAGAGGATGTGCGGACACATCCTTTCTTCAGGAGAATTGACTGGGAGAAGTTAGAGAATCGAGAAGTTCAGCCACCTTTCAAGCCTAAGATTGTGAGTACCCATTTTCTGAGAGCCTTTGTTTACATTCTTACCTGGACTTCATTGTTCAAGTTTCATTAGAGTGATTAAGATTACATGGCTACTAATGACATGTTCTTCATTAGTTTCTCCATACTTGCCAGAGTAATTAATCAGTAGTTCTGAGTTCATTAGTGCTTTGTAAACTGAATTTTTTTTTTTTAACCAAATCCCTGAAGGATTTACATGCTCATTGCTTGAAGTGTCACATTCTTCTCCCAACTTATAAAAATATAATAAATACAGTACAGAATAGAAACAGTTTTTTGTTTACCAGGAACCCCAGTTTTGGTTTTAGGGGACAAGGATTTCAGTATCCTGATGAATACCCACCCTGAAGAAAATAAACTAATCTCTAAAAACAAAACTGTTGCATTGTAAATTCTTCAATTACATTAAGTTAAAGAAGTCCAAGTACGGATGATAATACGATCTGATGCTAGTGCTCAGGATATAGTACAGGGGGAGTAGCCAAGAAGAACACTGCTGTTACATACACTCCACTGGAAATATTTACATTCATTTTGAGTCCTTCCTTAAATGTTGATGTACAGTAGTTTAAGCTCTCCCAAAATATACACCAGTATAAGTAATAGAGTTATTGGAGGTAAATATCTAACTGGGATGTTGCACAAGTTATTATACATTTTTCTATATGTAAATTATTTTCACATTATCAGCAGAATTGCTGGTTGCACTTGTATAATGTTCAGTGCATTGGTTGGTTCCCACATTCTTTACAGATACAGTATTATTTTTTTTTTTCACAAATCGAGATTAACTTATGTCAGTACAATTTTAAATGCCAAGCACTGTACCATATGACGCTCATACTACTACTATTTTTACCAGCATTAATAAAATTGTATTTTAACATTTATAACAAAAATAAAGTTTCATACAAATATTTACAGATGCTTATCTAATTACCACAATGTTCTTCTTGAGTTACCTCCTCACTTTATGTATAATGTTGTTAGGTAAAGTAGCCAGCTGAATGGATTGCAGAGTAATAATGTAGATATAAAGTAGAACCACTGCTAGAACTGTAGTAGAGACTGCTAGTAAAGTCATGTTAATTATTGCAAGTAGTGTGGTATTCTTTGCATCATGTGAAAAGTATTTTCTCTGTACTTAGGAGGAAAAACTTGGTTTAAATGCTTTGCTGTTTGTATGATAATTACTTATGATTAAATAATTCCAAGAAGGACAGGATGTTCTACAAGCCTAAATATTTTTTCTCCACAATTTATTCTCTTACCAAGCCTTTATCTTATATTTGCTTAACTTTCTCCTGTCATCTAATCTGTCAACTTGCTTCACGTGCCATCTGCCCTCTCCAGTCACCACACCCACTGCCTACCTTGTCACGTGTCTGCCATACATGTCTGCATACAAACTGTTTTGTGTCTGGTGATGGGTATTCGCTTAGGCAAGAGAACTTCCATTATCTGCTATTTCAACTGTTATATCCAGTTATATGACATTTGAAAATTATATACTGTTTTTATTCATATTAGTATCCCAAGAAACTCATGTACATTGCAAGATCAAAATTATCAAATATTACTAGTGTGAGAAGTGAATGTAGGACTATGTGGTGATGGTTGTTCTCTGCCAGCTGAGCATTTCAGCAGCTTTTAAAATTTAACAAATTACTTAACAGTGAGCTTGTCAAGTGTGTGAATGTTGGGGACAGCTCGGATGTGACTGAAATTGTTGTCTATTGTGTAGGTTATGATTTCATTGTGACACTTATGTACTGCCACTAGTTGACACAGTACTGCCACTGGCTGACACTATGTACTGCCTCTGGTTAATACTACATACAGTACTGCTGCTAGTTGACACTATGTACTGCCACTGGTTGACACAATGCAATGCCAATAGTTGACACTATGTTCTGCCACTGGTTAATGCTACATACTGCCACTAGTTGGCACCATGTACTGTCACTGGTTGACACGATGTACTGTCACTGGTTGACACTGTGTACTGTCACTGGTTGTATCGGAAAATCTGTGAGTAATTTCAATTTTAAAACTCGGAATATTTTTAATGGTGCATTATTTTTCAAACCTGTATGCATGTTCTAAGACTGTATTACAGTGCATGTAGGCATGACAGCGGTTTCTTATTGCATGAAAAAAATTTAAAGTCATTGCTATTGAGGCAGTTTCACTCACAAGCAACTGTTGACCACAACCTGCCGTTTGTTAGGACCTTTTTTTAACGTTTGTCACGTCCATAGCATCAGGCCAGTTAGTTCTCTGTATTTGACCAAACTTTTCACTTTGAACGATATAACAACCATGTATGTAACATTTTGTTCAAGTCATAGCTCAAGTGTTGAAGACTGAGCTTTCATCAGTCATGTTAAGGAAACAACACTCTGCAGCCACTGATATCACAGTAGGCTGTAAGTGCCACAGCTCTGATGATGTGTGAGATGACCAGCCTCAGCAGGGTGTTAATGTTGATGGTTCTTGTGATAACCCAAAGAACCCTGCCTGAGACCAGGTACTCCCTCCCTCTCTCCCTAGTGATAAAAAACCACTCCAGTTATTTTCCCATATTTCTGGTAATAGGTGCCCCATTAACCCTCTCTCTCAACTCTTACCATTTGATATATTGTACTCAAGTTTTGGCTCCGGTTCCTCATTAACATCAGGCATTAGTTTGTCATCAGAGCAGCGGCCTCTAATGATATAACTTGTACTGTACTGTACTATGTGTAGTTCCCAGCTTTTCATATACTGTACTTATATATTGATTATTACATCAAATATTCCTAGTTGAGTTTCTTTCATTCACATGACAATCAAATTTTTTGTAACTGATTTTTATAGTGTTTTTGAATCTGAAATTTTTTCGTGTATGTCCCATATTCTTTAAATCCCCAGATATTAGTCATTGTCAGATACACCTCTTTGGTTTCCTCTGTTACTATTTTGGAGTGACTAAGACCTGTTCTTTCCTTCAGTTATTTGTCTTTATTTTCCATAATGATCTGTCTTGAAACTCACCACTGATAAATTATTTTCTTATTCTTCTAAAATCCTTGGTTGATGATAAATGCATTTATAGGCCTTCTTTCTCATTATGTAGTTCTCTTTTGTTTTATTTTCAAAATTTCCATATTGTCTTACAATTTTCATTAATCAAACAAAATTTCCCACACATATTAAGTTTGACAATCACTTGTACAATAATTCTCCGTCATCAGCAGTCAGTGTTTACTTTTGTTCCAATATTTTTCTGCTTGAAATAGTTTTACTCCTGTAGCCTCAGTTGTCTCCTCCTCCTGGTTTACCTCAACACACTTTTAGCTTTTTGCTAAACAGCCTCGGTCATTCTTGTTTGTTGTTGGCATGTTGCTGGTGCCGCTGATGACTGTAACCCACCGGTACTGTACCTCCAATATCAAAATTTTTTCTTCTTGGTCCGATATTGATTATTATATTTTCTTTACCTGCCAAACTGACCTCATTGTCAGGTTTCCCTTCTTAGTTATTATATTGTTTTTCATTGCTTCAGTTTTATCTTCACATGAAAGTTTCTTTTTATGCAAATTTTCCACCTGTTTTTTAAATTATACTTAGTTAATACACATAAACAATGACCAGACTTTCCCCCGATGTTGTGTTTACCGGTATACCTTAAGTTGCCTGTTAACTCCTAAGAATCCCAGTCACTCCAAATTCAAAGTGTTTTCATGAAACTTCATTTTCTTTTTTTTGTCATTTCCTCATTTTGAGTTCATTTCCAAAAGATCCATAATAGTAACCAGGATGAATCAAAAGATATTTTTATCAATAAGTCCAAGCCTACAATGTAAGACATTTTGTTGTATGCAGATTTTTTTTTACCTCATTGCAGACTATTTTCTCATTATCCTTTAGGTGTTGCAATTATTGTTATACAGTATATTTCAAGTGTTATTACGGTTCTTGAGTATAGTGATCTTAAACTATGTGTACCCTACCATTAATATATTTATATGCAAACTTGATGTGTCTACAGTGTGTCTAGTGTAGTTCCTCCCACATGTGTGTAGATTAGGTAACCAACAACTGTGACCACCTTAACAGTTGTTTTTATCCCCTCATGACCCCTACTTTCTGGGTTGCTAACTCTTTTTATAAAGATTATTTTTGCCTATAGTACACCAGCCCTTTCTCTGATAGTCCAAGTGTGTTATATAGGTATGATTGATATTCAAATTATCTACAATGCATATTATAATTGGTTAATGAAACCATGAGTATAAAGCCCACACTGTTCTTGAAATCTTCATCACTAAGGTTACCACACTGTTCTTGAAATGAGTTTTTTCCACAAGGCTTTTATATACTGTATTTGCTCTAGGAATTCACGTTCATTTTTTTTTTTTTTTACTGTTGTCTGGTCAGCCAAAGTTATTAAGCACTGCCGATAAGGTTTTACCAGTAGTTTATTCAACAGACAACTTTGGAGATTTAAAATATCTGGTTTACAGAAAAGAAGCTGAATAATAATACAAAATTTAGGTAATTATCCAAGGTGAAAATAATGGATTTACCAGAAAAACAATTGAGTCACATCACAACTGAAGCAAATCATGATCACTGTCAGTAAATTCTGTATTAGTATTATAAAGGGCTTACTACCCAGTAACTGACAGTAGGATTTTTATAGTGAAATGAAAAATTAAGAAAGTGCTGTACCTGTAGAGCTGAAAATGTGAGATACAAATAAAGGTTATCTCATATTCCTATTGAGTTCTTCATCAAAAATCTGCAGTCTTTAAAGTTATGTGAAGATAATTTTTCTTAGAAGTTATGAAAAAGATTTTTCTTTATTATTTTCTGGAATATCTTTAAAGACAAGGAGTGATGAAGGAAGATTATTTAGTAACTGTTATAGCGCGCGGTTTATCGTGTATCCAGTAAAGGAAAATACTTTATGGTAGGACTTCCTGATACATTTTGACA